GTTTTCAACTGCTGAGTCATTTTCTAAAACATCAGCTTGGGTTTACAACTGCTGAGTCATTTTCTAAAACATCATCATCTTGGGTTTTCAACTGCTGAGTCATTTTGTAAAACATCATCATCTTGGGTTTTCAACTGCTGAGCCATTTTCTAAAACATTATCATCTTAGGTTTTCAACTGCTGAACCATTTTTTTTTTCACGTATATTTCAATATTATCTTGCGAAAACAATTAAAACATTTTATTTGGTATTACTGATAATGTTTTTCCTTCAGCAACTGTATACATGGAACAAAGAAGAAGTAATTTGTAGGGCTTTTGTACGTCATACCACAGAGCACGACCACCTGACCAATCGGATTAGTTCTTATAATGACTTTTGAAGTCATACAAAATTCTAAGGGGAATGGGTTGGGGTCTTGTGACGATAATCACACTTCCAAGTTGACGTCGTAGGCGTATGCAATCACTTGACTAGAAAATACAGTTAACGTGATTACTATATCAAAATTTCATATTTGATATCCTAATTAGCTGTCAGTTTTATGGTATAAGCTTAGTTTATTATGAATCCAGCAAAGTAAATATGAGATGCATAAGAAATATTTTGCAAATCTTGTGTTTTGTTACCTAATTATCCGTGTGAAAAGAACTACAGAACTTTTCGTTCGTTTATATGTATGTACGTATATATGATCTAATAAAAACGCCATCACGTAACTTGCATATTCATTCAACATGACAATTGTAATGTACATATCGAAATCAACAAGGCAATTTAATTATTAAAAGCTACATAAGCTTTAAATAAATAAATCACAAACTATACGTGTAAAGAGTATACCAGGTGATTAATTTGTAATTGTTAATCCAAATTTGTACAAAATACGTATTTGCGACTTACATCGTAATTCATTATTGTTTGGTGATAAAATCTACGTAAAACATATCATATTACTAATTTCAGTTTTAAGTATTAACTTTTTCTAGATGTACTTCCGCAGGGTCACCGAAAGTGTTCTGTTTCAAGAGTAAATAAAACCAAATTTAAGAGTAACAAATATTTTCATTTCTTGCTTTTGAAGTTCATATGTCATACTGTGTTGTAGTCTACAGAATGCATAATTCTTCTCGTGATTCATGGTATGCGCATGTTTTACTGACGTAATTCCCTTATGTGACGCCATTTTATTGTTTACTGACTGACTGACTGACAGACAACACACGGGAAATTATATTAATGCATTCGTATACACAATAAAACTTAGTGAAAAAATATTTCACCAGTGAAGTCTTTATCATTACCATTATAAAATTTATAATATATGTTTGTTGTTGTTGTTTTTGCTGGCCTATACAGTCATATAAGAACATCTACATACGTCATAAGTGTTATTCAACGCGCATCAAGAATTACGTTTTATCAAGATGTTGTAAAACAAAACGTTTTTTTTCAGTCTGTAATTGTCTTACTTAAAGATACAATCGAATTCATTCAATTGCTCTAATGTTAACCATAAAGTTTGTATTAGCGCATAATTTACTATGTCACAATGTGTGACTGTACACTATTTGTCCAACTGACATTTAACTTGTTCAAACTAGCCTTTACACCCATATACAGCACCTTGAAATTATAACCATATCATTTAACGTGTTTAAATTAGCTCTTAGCACCCATATCCTTCCCTTGAAATTATTATCATAACATATAACGTGTCCAAATAATGTATGAAAAATGGCCAGTGTCAACCGTATCCATCCCTTAGAATTGCAGTGACTGGCTCCTAACAACCATCTCTCCTATTACAATAACTACGTACCTCCCCATAACAAACTAAAATATTCCTTAGTTTTTAACCACCATATACTGTCTTCTGTAGAATAACAACCGAGTACACTCACAGAAATAACGGAAATATAATGCACAAACTGGCCGTTAAAAACATTTTATACACTAGTCCTTATAAATCAGGTAGAAACACAGAGATACTTAGGCTTTTCTGTTTGTTAGTTTCAAATATATAAATAAATATGGTACGTGTGTATAGATTGTGTGTGTATGTGTTCAAGTAAAGAGAAATACAAAGATGTGTAATGTATTAATGGTTATGTGACGTTCATATGAACAATTTGTCTACTTTTGTAATCATGAAACGTTGAAATTTCTGTTAAAGTACCTAGATTGTAAAATGTTTTTGTTATAGGTCTGCGTTAGATATTATATATTTTCCCTTGGTTAAGACTAGGCGGGAATTTTTGTATTTCACATCAAGTTCTAAAATATTCCACTTCTTACTATTTGGACGATTTAGCGTACACAGAAGTTTAAATATATCCAAAAAAATATTTAATATGAAAAACGTGTCTTTCCAAAAATATATTTGTATTTCAGGTTGTGAATCTTCTCAACGATCTTTACACCTGTTTTGATTCAGTGATTGAAAACTTTGATGTGTACAAGGTATGCTTTCGATAGATTAAATAGCCTTTGCTGTTATCTCTTACCTTATTTTAATCACTACAATGTGTTTGTACTCATATTTTTGTAACTAGTGATAAATTGAATGTGATAAAATCTAACGGGATATTTTTAATTAACTTAAACGTAAGGCATTTCATACTGAGCTAACTTAAAACTTACATTAATGAAAGAGCGGAATTATTTTAATTCCATTTCAAAGCATTCTCCCTGCTTTCTAATTATTTCTCTGTTAACTTCTTCAACAATCTCCCTGAGTCAGATCTCTCTCTTTCTCTGCCATCTTCCTACAGTAATATTCATGACTCAGGGATTTTAATTATTTTAATTCCATTTCAAAGCCTTCTCCCTGCTTTCTAATTCTTTCTCTGTTAACTTCTACAACAATCTCCCTGAGTCAGATCTCTCTCTTTCTCTGCCATCTTCCTACAGTAATATTCCTGAGTCAGATCTATCTCTTTCTCTGCCATCTTCCTACAGTAATATTCCTGAGTCAGATCTCTCTCTTTCTCTACCATCTTCCTACAGTAATACTCCCTGATTCAGGTCTCTCTCTCTCTCTCTCTCTCTCTCTCTTTTGCTCTGTTGTTTTCTACAATACTCTTTCATGTTTCTCCACTTTTCTCTGCTATCTTTTATAATTATAATCTTATTGTTTAAAGTTACTTTTGCATCAAATAACTCTGAATGCATGCCTCCGTATAAAGTTTTGATATAACAGTTTCCTCTGCCAGTCACTGTTAATCGACATTGTAACGTCATTTAGTGTATCAGTGATATTTGTACTGTTAAAACAAACACCAACGGAAATATTACATTTAAATCTGCCTCAAATCATCATATGCACCGATATCGTGCCTACTAAGATTATATGTGTTAATTGGTCTTATGCGATGATAGATATCAAATATCCTCCGATGGCAAGGAGGGTTGACGATATAGACATCATTTCAATTCCCAGCATCTTTATTTTGGTTTTGTCTATGCATTTATACTTTGAAATAACAGATTTAACCTAATAAAACTAGATGAGAATAATATTTCAAAGTTACCTTTTTTGTTATTTCTTTACAAACAACGTATGCCCGCCAGTGGCCCAGCAGTATGCTTAAATGCTTATAACGCTAAAATTCGAGGTTCTATCCATGCATTGGGCGCAGTAATGTTAGCAAATTACACTGATCACTATCATCAACATGCAGGAAAAAAAAAGAGATGGTTAATTAGTGTACGCCTTTTCCACCATTAGGAAATAGACTCAGGATTGTACAACGAAGAGTTTGTAATTATGAATTAATATTTCATATGATAATTTTATTTGATTTTACTGAATAATTGCTAAAAAGCCCATTCGCAGAAGATAACTTAACACACAAGTAAATAGACAACACCTTTTCAGAAAAAATGAAATTTTTCAGTCATGTTCACATGAGTTGATATATTTATAATGTAATTAATATCTAGTAGATCTTCCTTTCGTTTCGTGGAGTTCGTTGATCCTTTGGGGCAACGAGAGAATAATCTCGTCAATTTTAGATTGTGGGATTTTCGCCCACTCTTGCTTCAAAACTTGGAGTAGATCGCTCTTCGAAGTTGGTTTTTGGTTGTTTCTTGACTTGCCTGTCGAGTATGGCTCAAAGGATTTCGATGAAGTTCTTGTCAGGAGATTGGCTCGGCCAGGGCAATTTCTGGATGCCATTTTCTTCCTGCCACTTTTGGGTGTTTCCAGCAGTGTGACGCGGTGCTCCATCTTCCTGAAACAACGTTGTGT